ATAATACTAAACAGCCTAAAACTACATCGGGTACGTGAATCTGTAGTACCTGATACGACAACGACTCCATCTGCGTTATTTAGCTGTAGCTGCTGCGGGCGCACGCGTTTTGTATGCCAACCTTCACGATCAGCGTTCACACTTTTGCTCTTTAGCTGTTGGCCATGCGCGAAAAGTTTGTGCCTTTGCCCTTTAGCCGATGGCTGTGCTGACATTTTAGCCGTAAAATAACAGCTGTGTAACGCTATGGAAAGTAGCACACTCCGGCTTGTTTGTGATTGGGCGACGGCGTGCACACCCTCGCTACTGACACAACCGCTCGCACTCACATAATCCGATGGCCTGTTCGTCACGCGACTCGCAAGGCCGACTGCGATGCTTCGGTTTGTTCACGGGCTGGTGAGTCGGTTGCGCCCCCCTCACGTGGAGAAGACGTAGAGGGACGGATGGACGATGATGCAAACGAAATATCTGCGCGGTAGCGCGCCCGTGCTCGCGTCTATACATTGCCGACGCAGCAATCCTGTGTGATGGGTAGGAGTGCCGCTGCTGCTGCTGCTGCTGCTGCTGCTGCTGCTGCTGCTGCTGCATGATCACATCGTTCGGCGCGGTTGCGTCATCTTTCATGGTAACAGAACAATAGTAAGGTAAATAGACGCGTTCTAGTTCTGGCTGTTGTGGAATGCAATGCAAATCTGCGAAGCGGCTGCGTGCAGGTAATGCTGGTAGTTTCTATAGGGAACGGATGTGTTTTCCACCGTCAGAAAATGACTGGTAAAAGTGCATGTATATATGTACGCGTTGTGTTATGTCAATATATATAGACTATATTATGACACTCCTGGTGTTATGTGTAGCGTGTTCGTAGCCGAGTTACGGAAAGGCTGCATCCTTGAGCAGTCGGCTGAAACGCGAACCATACCCCCAACGCTTGCTTTTTACTGTAGTTGTATCTAAACTAGTGGAAATCGTCGATTGGGGGCGAATGTCGGGCTCACTTATGCTGAGAGGGTCTATGTCCCCCGGGGTACTGCCGGAACGTACCCTGGTACTATCTAATATGCCGGACCGTACCTCGCCTACTCCACTAACGAGTCTAGGGAGTCGCCTACGCCTACTCCCTAACCCGAACCCGAACCCTAACCCTAATCCTAACCCTAATCCTAACCCTAACCATATCAAATAATGACCAGGGTACGTTCCGGTATACCGGACCGTACCCAGGGTACGTACCGGCAGTACCCTGGGGGACATAGACCCTATGAGCCTCACTTATAGAGAATCGAGTAGACAAATTCCGTATGTGCGAATTTCCGCAATGTGAGTAACCGTACATTTTTTAATTAATCTAGCTCCTTCATGATCTTGCAGTGCAAGCAAATGAGGGTTTTGTAATTATCATTGTATATAAACAGACCCAGTCGAATTGATAACAGGAGATAAAAAAAAGTTCACAAGTTCGAATGATCAGTTAGTTTCTTCCTTTGCGTGGACAAAGGATGTAGCTGGGGTTTTATCAGGGGTCAGCCAGGGGCCAGGGATGGGTTGTATGTAGCAGCTAAGCGATTTATATGCTTCAAGGGTACATGTACGAATGTGGGCACGTGTTTATTATTTGGTGTGAAGTTAGAGAAGAAGAGATGTTTAATAATATTGATTATCACCGCTATTCTTATTTATTACAATTTTTACTGTGGTACGTATATATTGTTTTACATAATTTGTTATATTTTTTGCATTAGCTTCCAATAACTGGGTTTGATATCCCTAGGTCATGATGATTTCCTTCCAGGGTTTACACGAGCACACACACGCACACGCACACGCACACGCAAACGCACACGCACACGCACACACACACACACGCACACACACACACACACACACACACACACACACACACACACAACCTTAGTGCGCGCACACACACACACGCACAACACGCACGCACGCACGCACGCACGCACGACACACAAACACACACACACACGCACACGCACACAACACGCACGCACGCACACACAGTTGGTTTGATCCATAATATTTCTTAGACTGCAGCCAAGCTAGCTCCAAGAAACGGTATTGCTAGGGTTAGAATACAAGGTGTATTGACGTTAGTCACACAGCCTGGTCGGGTTACAGCCAAGCGTGCTATTGCGTTTGTGAAAATATGTGTTTGTGCCCACCACGTTACCCCACCTGATGGGTTCACTAAAAATGTTAGGCTTTGCTTCGTAAACAACATACAGCTATCCGGGGGGGGGGGGGTCACCATTACTGTAGTACTTGGTGTATCCAGGTGCTTTTCTTAATAGATATAGATCATATCAAGAGTACATAATAGAGATAGAGATCTCTATTATTTACTCTTGATCATATACTGTGATAATAATATCTAATACATTTTATAGGGCATTTGCATGTGTATATATATAAGAGTGTAATAGTAATACTGTACATTCCTTTTTATTTGTTTTATAGACGCGCTACCCTGGAAGCTTCATGCAGATGGACCTGCGATACATCACAATGGCAGTCGTCCTCTGCAAAGCTGCGACCAACCTGCAGTGCCCTCTAGCTGTTGCTCGATCATCACAAGTTCGTCGACATCTCAGCTTTTGCACCAGTGATCACCTCACTAATTCAATTCCGAGGAATATCTGCTTCGCACAATCGCGACGAAGCGGAAGAGCTCAAGTAGCTTGTCCGGTAAACGACGTCAAGGTCAGACTACCCCGGCACGTTACCGTCAGTCGAAGGGTCTATTCGAGGGCTTCCGATCCGCTGTGCAGAAAGCAGCAGCTGCAGGAATTATTCCTAATAGACACCGAAGTGGAGATCGAGTCACAGATGCATCAGCACGAGTTTGCGCTAGAGGAATCTGCGAACGGCGCCGAAACGAACAATGCAACAATCGAAAGAAAATCGCAGTGTGATGGGGAAAATGAAGAGAATGAGGTGAACCCAGAGTGCAACACAGGTATTTAATATCTCAGAACGAAGGTGTATATACTAGGGCCCCCTCTGGATGCTTTAAAGTTTGAGCCAAGATTTGAGCCACCTAAGTTATTTTTTAGCCACCAATGAAAAACCATAGCCACTGTACACGTTATCGTTTGTGCTAACCAAGGCATAATATTTACTATCTCAGAACGAAGGTGTACAATGATAAGTGCAATATTAAATCAAGACCACAAGAGATTTCTCACAAATGAAGTCTCTAGAGGTGGTGCAAAATACACATAAAGGTCGCGAAAGCTGAGTCCGGCACGGTATTTTACACGCCGCTTAAAAAACAGCAATCGACTGTGTCTCGTATCGACGTAAGAGTGCGAAGTGACTGTGTGAGGCAGAGATTGCTCAGATAAGTTCTCGTGTTATTTACTGCAGGTCTGAAGCGGGAGTGGCATCTCACGGCGTTGGGGAAGAAGCATGCGCGGGTGCCACAGTGCGGAGTGGAGGTGAGCATCATGTCGTACAACGTGCTAGCGCAGCAACTCCTGATTGGCAACAGTTTCCTGTACGACCACTGCCATCCGAACGTGCTGAAATGGAGCTTCCGTTGTCGCAATCTCCTGAGCGAGATCACTGACGCCAATCCAGACGTAAGCATCGCAGCAACAAGACCCGGGGTTAATGCACTTGTTCTAAATTAAATGGTGCCTTGCATGGGTAAACATCGCTTATCTATGGTGCAGTAAATGTCAGAGTGAAGTAAATAATCGGTCAGTTACTCACAGGTTACTTACACAGCGATGCATACGATTTTCATGCATATGTTTATACTTACAGTTTAGATTAAATGTCATGTATACAATGTGTGATTCAATACATGTCTTCTACGAAAAGCCTTCCTATGAATTCCAATACAACAAGTCGCTTCTATTAAGCCAATGTACACGACGATGTAGGTACAGTTATGGATAACTGATTAACAGAAATTGTACCCCCAGCATTGATAAATGAGAGATAAAGCCAAGATTACAATCTCCGGATGTCAACAACCTCTGTACTCTGCCAGTGTGTTAGGAAAAGTGGCAGGCAGTAAAAATTCCCTTTTAAATCCGATAGTGTAATCTATGGTGATACGTGTGAGTATGTATAACAGATAATTGTATAGAATAATTGGGTATACATTGTAATTGTAATTATATAGATACATTAATTTGTGCAAATTGCCCTACAGGTATTGTGCATGCAAGAAGTGCAGGAGGATCATTTTCAAGAATTCTGGGAGCCACAGCTGGCAAGCTTAGGTAAGGTCTCATCTCTCTCTATTTCTCTCTATCTCTCTCTCTCTCTCTCTCTCTCTCT